AAAATCAGCGGTGGTGGGGACACCTGACGGGAAACACGGCGCTACGGGAAGTAACTTAACTCTCCGGTCCAAAGTTACAACAGCCGGACAAACGTATACAAGGTAAAAGAACATTGTTACTTTGTTACGAATCGGAGGCCATATAAAAATGTCAAGAATCGAGAAGAAACAACAAATGCGCAGAGCTTTAATTAAACGAGAATTTCAAATAATATTGGAAATGTGTTTTTTGTTTTATGTTTTATGTTTTTGTGTTGGGGGCTACGAGTTTAATTGTGAGTTTCATTTGAATAAAAAAAAATGAAGACGACAGTTGCGACAGATGCGGTTAGACGTATTATTAAAATGCGATAAGTGATAAATCAAGCCTGAATGGTTTTTAGCTCTCAGCATTAAACCCATGAGCTGGTGACTAAAGAGTGGGGTCTGCGTAAAATTTATTCCTTGATTTAAAAAAAAAATTGTTCAGTATTCTCAGTGATGTTTCAGTGTGTTAATACTTTAAATTATATCAATTCAAATCATCCAAAAAAAAAAATGGATTTTAAAATGCGTGCATTAAGTCTTATATTCCATCTTTATCTTCGTGTTAGTCAATTATGACTCCATCCAATTTTTCCTTATAAAGGTATTTTGATAATTTGTTTAAAAAATCAATGCTTTGATCAATTTTTTACCCTCTATTATTAAAAAAAAAATAGGTTTGCATACTATAGCAAACGCCGTAATAGTGTTTGAAATTGTGTTTAAACGCGCAGAAATTGAAACAGTGAAAGGGAAGGGAAAATGACTCGTCTCACTAACTAGCGGGTCTTGTGTTTGCAGGGAATCGAATGACTACTTTCGATTTGATGTGTTATAGGTCTGGGGTCACCAAAGTTTTTATTCAGACGACCCATCGCGACCGTATAACGAGAGTTAGTGTAAACTATTTCATACTAATTAAATCAATTTTATAACAGTTTTTAATTTTTTTTTTTTTTTTTAAATTTGTAATAATAAAAGTTATGCATAGTAGACTCTATATTGAATAAAATAGAATATATAAAGAGGCACGTTATTTTTAGTTTTGGAATAGTCAATGTCTATTGGTCTCACGTATCTAATCTAGCTTTCCTTTTGAAGTTAGAGATGCTTTACGCATTACGTTTTGCTCCGCGCTAGCATGGCAAAATCTAACATCAACTGCTCACGGAGTGTGCAACTAAACTTGAAGAGAGACTATTTTGGCGCATGCTATTTAGTTTAAAAAGTATTCATTATTTGGATCAGTGATTGTATATTTCCCATGGCAAGGCTATAAACAAAAAAGTCTTGAACCCAAGGTTTTATTTTAATATACGCTTTAACAAAACAGTAGTCCCGTGTATAAATTGTCTCTCGGAGGGTCTTCAAAGATAACACTAATTTGAAATTTGTCAAACAGAGAAATCTGTTTTTGTTTTTAAATGTTTGGGCACACTGTTACGTTCGGTTCTTTTATTTACAAGGGATTTTAATTTTAAATTTAAATGAAAACCCTGTCTTAAGATTCTTAAGAGTTTTTAATTTAGAGTCTTAAGACCGAAGTATTTGTCACCCACCCAATGATGACACTTTAACAGTCTCTGTGACGCGGACCCAACCCCGGGGGAAAGTCGATACCGACTATTTAAGATCGCCAATGCAGTACCTTAAATTTTCATTCAACATCGAAACATTTAGCAAAACATTAGTGAATGATTTTTGTTCTGTACATACATTAGTATTTCTTTTATATAAAATTTGATGAAACGGGGAAAGCATCCTATGCTCTCTTCATTGGCTTCCTCCGTTCTTTGTTAACTTCGCTTTCTGTCATGTTAACTTCGCTTTTTTTTTTTTCAAGTTTTTTTTTTCTGGCTTGGTGTGTGGCGAAATCTTTGGACGTCCAATTCACCCACTATGCTCTCGTCATTGGCTTCCTCCGTTCTTTGTTTACTTCGCTTTCTGTCATTTTAACTTTGCTTTTTTTTTTTTTCAAGTTTTTTTTTTCTGGCTTGGTGTGTGGCGAAATCTTTGGACGTCCAATTCACCCACTTCTCCCATCCTATCGAGCTGAAACTTGGCACATAGACTCTTTGCCTATGACAAAAAATTCTCTGAACCCCAAATCAACCAATTTCCCCCGTTTTTCAAAGGGACTATGAAAGAAATTTGATACCACTGATTTAAATGAAATCAAATTCCAGATAACTGCGCTAAATGAGATTCTTTAAAGAATATCGCAAGTGCGTTTGGTGCGTAATATTTTCTTTTGTTTATTCTGAAATAGTTGGTGCAATAAATCTGCGGTGTCAAAGCGGGTGGGTCACTAGAAAATTCATATAATATAAAATTATAAAAAAATGCTAATGAAGGATTTATACGAAAATCTAAATTTGTATGTGTTGTTTCGTTTTTTTCCAGGTTGAAAAGTGCTAAGCCACTTTGTTATCTAGACGACGTGTTTACGTCATATTTCCCCCGTGCTGTGAACTCTAGCAGACCCCCAAGCTCGAAACCGCATGCTAGGGTGTGGCTATTTTAAAATAGTCTACTTGACCTCGATTACAAAGAAATAAAACTCTATCGCCTGTATTATTATTAGAATCCTTTAGAATGTACTAGATGTCTAGAGGCGCGTATGCAATGTGTAAGCCATTCGAGAAGTATTTATGAAACAGGCTATTTAAAAATAAGCTCCTAGAGCGATAGGAAGAGACGAGACGAGAGATATTTTGATCGTGTGATACATTTGGTTTGCTAGGAGACAGAGATTGAAGATTCCTTTTCATCATTGTACCTTTGTACAAAATTGTATCTTCTTCAACATTTTACCGGTACAAGCCAATCAGTATTCTGCACGTCAATAGCTTTAATTAATTTCTTTTTTGATTTTGTAAATTAGAATTAACATAATGAAATCTATTTATTAAAATTAGGCCTGATTGGGTTATCATTGGCTTTGTAATTGTCCTTAATTTATGATATCGTTTTTATTATGTACTGTTGTAGAACGAGCAAAACACTTAAATAAGAGATTAATTTCTCCATAATGATAACAGTACGTATTACACTTACACCGTTTTCATCGGCTGTGATCTTGGAACTCTCCCAAAAAAAGTAGAAGAGATGGTCTCGGACTTTTTTTTGTTATTCTTCCAATCAGGGTCGTACAGAGGTTGAGGCAACCGAGTAAATCCATTGGGGCCCTGCCCGCATAAGGGCCCAAAGGTGCAGGATACACCTATTTTGGACTTTGGGGGAGGGAGCTCAAAGTTTGTATTTCACCTGGGGCCCAAAATCCTCTGCGCGGTTACTTCCAAGTGCCAACAATCTGCTTTTAGATGTGTACGTCCTTGTAACAACCAAGTGTTTGCCAATAGCTACATGTCCCCAGTATCGTGTCAACCATACGAGATTGAACTGGTTTGATTTTTTTTCCGAATATTCTTCAACTAATTCAATTTTCTAATATAAAAGACAGTTGTTGGGGGTGATGGTGGGATGGGGTTAGGAGTTGGGTGAGGAGTGGGGTGAGGAGTGGGATCAGGATTGGGGTGAGGAGTAGGATGAGGAGTAGGATGAGGGGTGGGGGAGAGGGGTGGGGTGAAGAATAGGGTGTGGAATTTTGTGAGGGTTGGGTGAGGAGTTGGGGTGAGAAGTGGAGTGAAGAGTGGAATTAGGGGTGGGGTGGGGTGAGGAGTAGGATGAGGGGTGGGGTGAGGAGTGGGGTGAGGAGTGGAGTGAGGAGTGTGGTGAGGGTTGGGGTGAGGAGTAGGATGAGTGGTGGGGTGAAGAGTTGGGTGAAGAATAGGGTGTGGAGTGAGGTGAGGGTGGGTGACGAGTTGGGGTGATAAGTGGAGTGAGTAGTGGAATGAGGAGTGGAGTGAGGAGTGGAGTGAGGAGTGGGCTGGGGTGAGCAGTAGGATCAGGGGTGGAGTGAGGATTGGGGTGAAGAGTAAGGTGTGGAGTGGGGTGAGGGTGGGACAAGGAGTAGGTTAAGGAGTGGGTGAGGGGTGGTATGAGGGGTGGGATGAGGAGTGGGGGTAGAGGTTAGGAGTAAGTTGAGGGTGCTAATCATTGCCTTAACTTTCATTAAAATAAATTCTCGTAAATGTTTTCGAAGCTAACACTCTGCGCTCGTTAAGAGTTAGATTTCTATTTTGTTTAAAATTTTAATCCATGATACGCTGCGATAAATCATAAACCATTTTATTTGGATGGACACTATTTTAAAACTTTTTTTTTGGACCCAGCGGATGTCTATCTCTAAGAGAGTCGAGACCAAATCATCAAGCAATTATAGTTTCAAATAATCGCGCCAGATTATCCATCCATCCCTGCTGTGCTACAGCCCATGTAGGGCTTTTGCCAGACTCACCACTTGATTCCACTCAGACCTAGTGCATGCTTTTCTTTTCCATGCTTGGATTCCCAGCTTCTGTAGATCTGTTTCCCCATCGCCCATCCATCTAAGCCTAAAGCTATAATATCAGGTAACAGTGTTTATCGCTTATCACAAGTTCTTAACTGAAGCTCGACAATTTAAAATTGCTTTCAAACACGGAACTATGCATATCCGGTGCACTACTTTATTTGATAGACTTCTATATACTAATTACGATACAGGTAAAAATAGAGGTGGTAAGATGGAGAAAAAAACACGAACTATTTGTATTAATGATGACAAAAATGTGGGGTTTTCATACTGCTGCAATGTTATTGAACGCACTGGTTATTCAACGCAAGTCAGAATGAATACCAGTGCTAGTGTCATTTCTGTTCGCTATAAGCTAAATGACCTTCTATTTCCGGTTAATCTTCTCATCCAAGACGTCTTTTGGTGGTACGTTCTTTTTCTTGTGGGTTTTATATCAAGTTTCATTAAAGTTGATATTTTCGAATGCTTTATTATACAACAGTCTCGGTGTTATTATTTCTTGAGTTTTTTAAAGGTGATGTGAATTCTTTATCCCCCTCGCGAGCTCGGTAAAGATTTAGCACGATCTGAGCGAAGCTCTGAATCGCCTGTTGAACTTGAGATAGACGAACATGTTGCAGGATGCATTCCAAGCTTCCACCGTGAACCGGAACGTGTTGGCCGTGAGGTACGTGTAGGAGAACCGGTGCGCTAAGTTGAACTCTGGCTCGCAGAGTACGGCGTAAAAGATGAGCAGCTTGGGGGTGTTGCACAGGATGAACAAGACGGATACAAGCGTCGTGGACTTGACCGTTTGGAGCTCTTTTCTTGAAGTATTCTTACTCTGCTGATGTGAAGAGGAAGAAATACTTTTTTAGTGTTCTCAAATTCGGTTTTTGGTGTTGGGGACTCGGTGAGCGACTTCAGAGAATTGAACCTTGGAGAGATCTTAGAGTGGGAATGTTGTTGTGGTATTCCCAGAATTGGCAAGCTGGGTCCAGAGATTATCAAACCGGATGCTGCGCGTGAAACTGACTTCCTGAAACGGGACGACGCATTCAGGCTTGACACGAGTATACACAAACACACCGTCACGGTCACGTGGCACGCTGACGTCAGGATTATGGCGATGGTGCTGCGGGCGGAGTAGATCTGATTCCACAGATCGGATGCCCAGAAAACCAGCACCGTGGAATTTTTGAATCGGTCCGTGCTCTCCCGTAGACCCTGGGAAACCATGATCGGGAGGTACATGAAGAAATACGCGAGCAAGAGCGCGAAGAGCATCCCAAAAGTCCTAGCCCTCGTAAAGGTGTTCCTGAAGCGCATTGGCAGCGCGACGCAGCAGCATTTCTGCACTGCGATGAACGTGGTGATTATTTGCGAGAGGTCGTAGAAGAACGCGTAGTAGTACGCTAGAATCAGACCCAGCGCCTCGCCGTCCACCCTCCATTTCTCCGTCACCTGCTTGGCGAAGATGTAGATGAAGTCAGAAGGTATCATTATGAGGATGCAGGTGAGGTCCGCGCAGGAGACCATGAAGAAGCTGACGGAGAGGCCGTCCTTGAGACCAAGTCTGAGGAACACGACAATGTTGATGAGGTTCGACGTGACGCCCAGGGCTAAAATTGGCGGGCGGACGACGGTTCGGAGGACAAAAGAGAAAAACGCCCTCGTCTCTGCTGTCATGAGGTCTTGTGGAATTAACGCGGTCTCGTTCATGGTCACGGGTGTATGTGTAAAAGTATTTTTTCTTTTAGCTTTAAAAGTGCTAAGCTTGCACACATAACCAACAGTCGTAGCACGCTTTAAGCTCCATCTCTAAACGCTAAATTTAATATCTATCATATAGAAAGGATTAAGCTTGATAAATGTAATTATCAGATCATAACTGCAAGCGCCCAAGAAGGGATTTTTAAAAAAAAAATCTGTGGGCCTTTTTTAACCTTCGTTTTTGCATATTCCTAGATTGTTGCGGGAATTTTCAGAATTATTAAATACATGTTTACTTTGAGATATAAATGTTCCTGTTTGACTTAAAAACTCTATCACCCGTAGAATCACAGAGGAATTTAGGTTCGAAAAGCTGTAAGAAACAACTTGATAGTTGTATTGATCAAAGGCCTACATTCATCCACGTATGAACAGAATAGAGCAAAAACTTGAACGGTTTCAAAACAGCCAAACTTGAACGATTACGGAACAGGCCAACATTGAACGGTTTCAGAGCAGCCAATCTTGAACGGTTACGGAACAGGCGAACCAACACGTTTTTTTTTAATAATGTATATTTCCCACGGCTGGTTCTATTCCCTTTACCAATGGACCACAGCGATGAGCACGGTACCGTACACCTTATTATGGTTGAATAATTCCCCCAAAAAGCGTCAATGATTGTATCTTGTCTATGTGTAAGTCTGTTCCACCTTGATTGAAGTGCCCTAAACAACAAAAGAGTTTTGTCATGTGGTCGGCACCGTCAAATCGTTTCATAGATTTTCATGGAGACATAAAGACATAAAAAAAAAGTAAAAGTTGCTATCCACGTATCCAGGCCGAATCCCTCATGGTTGATGGCACAACATGCTATTGTTATTCGGTGGGTCTTACAGCACGAGTACGAGGCTTGGGAATCCGTGAAATAGAATCTACGAGCGTATGTTAACGGCATTTTTATTTAAAAAAATTTTTTTTTACATATTCCCAATGTGCTCTTAAAAAACAAGGCAAACCGTTCCTCGTCAGCAGACAGAAGGGTTGAACCCTTGTCATTTAAATAAGCACCCTAATTTTAAGGCGATGCCGGAGACATAGAATTCTGAAGGATCGAATCCATATGCAGGATCGAATCCATATGCAGGATCGAATCCATATGCAGGATGGAATCCATATGCAGTATCGAATCCATATGCAGGATCGAATCCATATGCAGGATCGAGTCCATTTTTTTTAAAAGTCTGATAAAATTATCTCTTGGTACAGCCGATAATTTGCTAGACCTATCAGTGTGAGAGATGGGATCATTGGGATCATTGATAAAAAATTGGATGAACTGGTTTTTAATTGTCACTAAATATCTCAAAGAGGACAAGATTGTAGCATTGATTTTTTTTAATTTAAAAAATGAGTGTCTTTTCTTATTACATTGTAAACAAAGATGGATACTATAATATCTTTCTCCTTTGTAATGCTTTAATGTCTTTAGAAGTTATTTTTTCTAAAGGGGTGTATTACAAATATCGATACTTTAAATGTACGTGGATTGTAATCGTGGAAGAGAGAGAGAGAGAGACAGAGAGAGAGAGAGAGAGAGAGAGAGAGAGAGAGAGAGAGGAGAGAGAGAGTAATATTGGCATTTTGTCTGATTATATCCACCAGGCCACAATTAACCTGTAGTGTTACAGTTTGCTTTGGTGGCGTGGTGTGTCTCCTAGCGAGCACCTGAAGGCAGACCTACATTCATTCACAGGTCAAAGGAAAATCCGTACAGCTCTCATTGTATGTAATAAAAATAACACAAAAATCACTTGGCATTATACGAATTATGTGTGACGTAGTTGTGAGCAAATACATTTAGCGTTGAGCTTAAATTGATGATAATGTTTTAAGCACTATAATTCGACATCATTGTCATGATTTTACTTTATGATTGGACAAAGAGATTGAGGGGCCTACTTAGGCCTTGCCTTTTTAGTAGACCTAACTTTGAATAGTCTCATGATTTCATATCACTTTCACTACTCAACGATACCACTTCTGTTTTTAATATCATCATTATCAGTTTTTTTTTTGGTGTTTTTTTTCTTCCGTTTATTCCGATAGCTGTAACTTCATTTGTACCATTACAGAAATGTTTGAAAAGTGTCGCACTTTGCATTCAAAGTGCCGAGTGCTTCTGATTTCAGTTAGCTATTTTACTTTTGCTCTCATCAGCAGCGTGACAGACTCTAGTCAAGGTTTCCTCATCTCCAAAAAAACAAAAACATAAAAAACACACAGGTCATCCTTGTCTGATGAGTCTATTCAGCCCGACCAAATTCGTCCCGAAATAATGGTTTATTCCGGGGGGAGCTTCAACTCCTTACAGAATGGCAAACCATGGTTTCAAGAAGGAGAGTAGCGCAACACCCCGCGTGGGGAGAACGTTCGAAAAGTTGAGCCGCATGCAAACCTTGTGCGGACAAAACTGATGAGCTTCGAAATTTCAACTGCATTAATTTTGTTGTTAAGTGATGGCGTGCCTTAGGCTTACATGGCTATACCAGTTTAAAATATTTTTTTTTTCCATAGTGAAATCTTTTTACTTGTGCGTCAGAATTTTGTTAAAAAGGGAGTCAGAGATGAGGCTTGTACGGTGTCATGTCATGAATATATTCGCATTAAATGTCATGTCAGTGCTGCGAACGTTGCGTTTGTTGATTTGTTACCCACACGACAGCACAGAGAAGCAGATGCTGATGGCACCTTTCAGTCCAAGTCTTAAAAAACCGATGGTGTTGATCAAATTAGCGATGAAGCCACAACAGGACTATCGGCGGCTGAAGTATTCCACCTAAAAGGAGAAGCGTCATTGTTTTAGCTTTCATTGTTATTGTTGTATGACGCATTACTGCAACATCTGTGGTGCTTATTGTGTTGTATATTCTTGTGTCAAGTGCCTGATGTAAAAATTTCTACCTTCTGTTCAGAAAGAAATTTTTATTGTTATTATTATTATTAAGTTGTTTTTTTTTATATAGGGCAGTATCCCAGCCTAGGGGCAGGTTCACTGCGCTTCACATAAAAATTAGCAATTAAATAAAATTATACATTTAAAAACATAAATAGGTAAAAGGCTAGACCTCACCCACCCAAGTACTATTTAATCCTGTCTAGCCACGGACAGCACAAGGCAGCATCGAGCGTGGTGTATCAGTTAGAGGGGGGGGGGGTGAGAATGAGTCGGTATATTACAGTTTTAAGAGATGGGTCTTCAAGGCAGTTTTGAAGGCTGGGATGGTCGGCATATTGCAGATGTGTAATGGGGAGAGAATTCCATTATTTGGGGGGACCACAGACAGAGAAAGCTCGTTTCAGGAAGTGTGTACATAGAGGGGGATTTCTAGATTTCCAGTTCTGGAGGGTTCTGATCTCCTAACTATAAATATAACAGTCACTTGTGACCGGCAGACATTCCAGACTGACACGACTTATTATACCTTTCAATGTGTGTGTAGGTGGATGAGTATTTGTACCTTCCTAGGATAAACTCTGAGTTAATATAGTTTTTTTTACTGTATATTGGATTCTCTATTTTTAAAAGTAAAAACTTGATACTATAATTTAATTGATAAGTGTTAACATATCTAAATTTGAAATGGCTTTTCCTGTGTATATTGGTTTTTTGGTCATTTTTTTACGCGTTATTCATATAACGAGCCAAATCTTAAAAAGGCCTATACTCCAACATAGTTACAAGCTTTATCAATGGGTGCGATGAAAATTTTCTCCAGTTGAATGTCTCAAAAACAAAGGCAATGGTTGTTGATTTCAGGATGGGGAAACACCAGATTACAGATCGCAACATAAAAAATCAAAGTGTAGAGAAAGTGGAGCCATACAAGTACTTAGGTGTCACCATTAATAATGGCATGAGCACGGCCAAATGCTGTATACGAAATTCAACCAAAGACTGTTCTACCTCAAAAAACTGTACAATTTCGGCGTAAACAAGCAAGTCGTTAACTTATTCTACAGTGCAACAATTGGAAGCCTACTTCATTTCAGTATTACCTGCTGGTGTGTGAATTCCAGGTCTGATATTAAACACCGCATAAACCGACTAATCAAGAAAGCTAGGAACATAACACAAACTAAACATCCTTCACTTGAAGAACTTTTTGAAGAAAGATGTTTTTGTAAAACTAAACACATTTTGGATGATATATCCCAACCCCTTCATCACAGATACTTAGGATCGGGCCGTTCGGGACGAATTCTTTCCATCAAGACGAGGACTGACAGATATAAACATTATTTTGTTCCCAAACCTCTACGAACTTACCGTCGTGCTCCCCCTGAAGTCACACATCTTCGTGAAAACTAATAAGTCCCCGAGTTGGCTAAGAGAACTCACTGAACGGCTGTTTGAAATAAATTATTATACATGTCTTGTGTTCCAATTGAAAATGTGTAATGCAATCAAAAAACATTTCCATTTATTTGGATCAATAAAAGAATCTTATCTTATCTTATCTTATCTTATCTTATCTTATTAAATCGAGTATTAATGGATTACTAGAAATAAATTTGCCCTGCACATGACCGTAGGCTATGCTGTCATTGCCTGTTTGCCTGTTTCGGGGGTCTCCAGATCTTTACTTTATCGTTGCATATTCAAGATCCGAAGACTTCAACACGAGACTTTACTTGAAGTAAGTGACTACTTCAGCCTTCCAAGTGTTTTTTTTTTTAAAATATATAACTCACCAAGAATTTTGAGGCGATTTGATTCTCTTTTTTTTTTAAAAATAAAAAATTCCCAAATACTTCCTGAGAATCGTTCGACGTCTCTAAAATTTAATGACAGTTTCAATGAAAAACATAAAATGAAATCTGTAATGACCTTTTGTTAGAATACGTGTTCTTAGTAAACCTGGGGCACTCTTAAAGAGGGAAAAACAAAATTAAGTAGGGAAGTCTTTACATTTAGGGGCAGATATGGAATCGATACACACAGCTAGTTTGGCAGAAAACCGACTAGTTAGACATCAAACAGACAAATTATACATAAAACAGGCTAGTTTAACATAGAGCAGGCCAGTTAGACAGTGACTAGATTATACACCCCAGCTTCACAAAGGCTGCCTTTTTAAAAACAAAATTGTCTATTGTTTAAAAATAATTTAATTTATATTTTAATATTTTGAGGGGTTGGAAAAAGGGGGGGGGAGGGGAGGGGAGGGGGGGCGGGGAGTGTTGTACTGATGTGAAGAAGTGATCTGGTCAATGTCGCACGTTTTCCTTTTTTTTTTTTTTTTTNNNTAAAAAAAAAAAAGGAATTGATGTTTTAAACATCAGCAGTTTGAAACCTCTCCTGAATGAAGTGTTTTAGCAGCTTACATAAATGTAAAAAAAAAAAAGGAATTTATGTTTTAAAAATCAGCAGTTTGAAACCTCTCCTGAATGAAGTGTTTTAGCAGCTTACATAAATGTAAAAAAAAAAAGGAATTGATGTTTTAAACATCAGCAGTTTTAAACCTCTGAATGAAGTGTTTTAGCAGCTTACATACATGTAAAAAAAAAGCCAAAAAAAAAAAACCAACAACATTTATCCAAGTAACGCACTTCTAGTTGTTTTTTTTAAAGACACACACACAAACTTACAGCTACTGGGCACTCTAATGTGCGGCGTTACTGGGTAAATCCACAAATTCATATACCTTCCATTCTGTTAAACATACATTTAGATTGACTTAACGGCCAATTATATATTTAAACATCAATTATTTTCACCACACGCTAGCCTTTTTTTTTTAAAAAAAAGGTATAAAAATGGTATAAAAAAAAAGGCTACAATGGTACACATATTTTCCATTATGTTTAACTGCCATGTCCATATAAATTTCATCCGGTTGTCATTTAGTTAACATGTAACAAGTTTATCAGCCCACCATTTGTGTAACCAAATTAATTGTTTTAATGATAAAGTTAAATGAAACAAAACACCACAATGAAAATTTGTTTTAATGATAAAGTTAAATGAAACAAAACACCAAAATGAACATTTGTTTTAATGATAAAGTTAAATGAAACACCACAATGAAAATTTATTTGTTTTAATGATAAAGTTAAATGAAACACCACAATGAAATTTTGTTTTAAATGCATAGTGATGGCGCTTCTCTGACGATAAATCCGACTTCATATAACAGTTTTGTCATAAATTTAGTGAACTTTTTGTTTTTCTTCTTTAAATTCTTTTGTCTCACCACGTTTCTATGAACCGGAGTCCGAAAGTGAAGATGGAAAGTTAAGCCCACGTTTTCTCTAAGTATACCGTGAATTTTAAAATACATTTCAATATTAAAAATTGTTTCAATTGTTTTGAAAAAAAAAATCTGAACGTGTATTTAAAAAAAAAAAAAAAACACTTTCTTTTAGAACTTGCAAAAACATTCTTTTAGAAC